CATCTAGACAGGCAATAACCCGGCAGCCACTCTTCTCCAGCTCTTGTGGCAGATCAGTCACGACCGTAATGCAAATTATGGATGAGAAACAACCGCCATGTATCTTGCTCAGATTTACCCTGCGTCACCCTTCTGGACTAGAGATTGAGGTATACTAATACGGAAGCTTGGCTAGATCAGTTTCAACTCCAAACCTATGTAGGGGTTTGATAAATAAAATAAAAAATAAAAATAAAACTGTAACAGGCCGATGTCTGCACATTAAAGGAAAATTGATAGGGGGTCCTTATTAGGGCAATAGAAGCCAAATCATTCTGTCTGTTTGTATGTTTGTACGCGCATATATCGAAAAGTAATGCATGGAATAAAATGTAGTTTTCACCGATGTATTGATATAGGTCTATATTAAAATGTAGACGAACAAAATTAGAGAGTTGCCACCTGTTTGAAAATTGCAGTTTAAAGAATTGACTGCAATTTGGCTCTCAAAAAAAAAAGAGACTCACGAAGGCTTACAGCTGAAAATATTTTTGTGAAGGGTTGCCACCTGATTGAAAATTTTAATTTAGTTTAATTGATAAGATAAATTGAAGATATTAAAGACGTTAGAAAATTTTACAGACGAACATTTTTTTGAGGGGGTTGTAGCCTGTTTAAAAATTTTATTCATTCAAATTGACAAAATAAATTAAATATTACAATACGGATATTAAACTAAGAGGTTTAGAAAGTTTACTGTCGAAAATATTTTTGAAGCGGGTTGCCACCAACACACATATGTATGTATTCGAAAATTTTAATTCAGTTAAATTGATAAGATAATATTGAATTAGTACAAATCTGAAGAAAAAATGTGCGATAAGTAGACTCGAGTTACAAGATTATAAATTAAATTTCCAGATTTCTAAATACCTTCGTAAATATATTAACTAACACCCGAATTCAAAAATGATAAAGAGTGCTTCATAAATTGGAATTTTTTTCGAAAATCTCACTTCATAAAACTATTTAATTTTTTATGCATGAGGCCACAAAAATACCGCTAAGGCACAGTGAAGCACGTCGGGTATTTGCTAGTAAATAATAATCTCCTGTCGAGCCGCTTTGTGTAAAGAATTCAGCTACCAAGCTTCTGTAGCGTCCAAAGACGCTGAACATTTATTAGTCGTAGTATTCTTTCTTCTTCTACATCCTAAATCCTTTACTATACATACATACATATGTAAGTAAGTATGGCATTTTGGAACTTTGATCCGAACTTTTCTTTTGCCTTATATCTGCCAAAGGAAAAAATGATTTTTTTTTGAGTTATGAAAAATTCTTAACTTCACAATTTGCTGGAATTTGGCAAACTTATTTTTTGAATATGTCGAAAAGGTGATATTTGGGAATACAAAGAAAAAATATTCGAAAAATAAAAAAAATACAGAATTTGAAAATAAGAAAATAGTAAAAGCAAAAGCTTATTAACATTTTTCGCTAAATTTTTTATACAGTACCAACTGATCTTAAAAGATCGTGAAATTTTTAAGGTGTTTTTTTGAAATATGCAGACTCTAAATAAAGTTATGCTAAGAAATTTTTATTTAAATTCATTTTTAATTGATAGTTTGCAGACGATTTTTTTTCAAAGCTCGAAAATGTAATCTGAAAAATCACCTTGAAAATTTCCGAATCTTTTAAAGATATTATCTAAACAAGTAGCCAAAGGCAGAGCCATATTTCTAACTATAACAGTTTTTCAAATATTCAAAACTAAAGTTACGAAATCCCGGAAATTGTAATATTTTGAAATTTCGAAATTTTTTAAATATATTTTTCGTTATCTGATAAAAGAAAAGTTCTGATCAAAATTCATCCAAATCAAAAATGGTCGATTCCAACCATTGGCCAATTTGAAAGGATTGGCCCACTTGTAGATTTGTTATTTTTTTCACTTACCAATTGCAATGCAGTAAGGTATTTCTTCCACCAGAGAAATTTTTGAACGCTAGGCCCCAAAGCGCTTAGTCCATAGTAGCTGTACATAATGACATGTATGAATGAATTCGTTACGGATGGTATAATTGCTGTAAAGAATAATTAAGAAACGATCAGTATCTCGAGTTTAATAAAACAATGTAGTTGGTTAGTGAAAATATTACGTCTCTAGCTGAAAGACATGTGTTTGCGCTGATCTGGATGCCAGCGAAAAGCATGGCAAGGAATTGACCGACGAACTTACACGAAAAGTGTCAGCACTTGAAGATGAGATTCTTGCGTCTCTGACCCAAAATCAAGACACGGATCTCTCAGAACTGACAACACGTGGAAATACGTAAAGTTCTGGAGGGATTGCGGGAGTTTGTGGCTTTAGTACTGCAGCAAACGTACCTCAGACAACATTACTCTGGATGGGAAGCATTTGTCTCTACTACCTGTCTTTTTAACAGAACACTCGTAGGTTGCTCGCTGGGTATTTAATCGATCAAAAGATTGAGGACGGCGAGAAGTCGGACCTAGAAATGGGCGCGGGACCAAATATTCAATCTCGATCCCGCCTATCCTAGCATTAAATTTTTAGATCGCAAACCCGACCATCTCGACGTTTTTAACATTTATACCACCCCTTGGTGCCCGATACCTATCACTTAATAAAGTAACTGAATATTTTACTTTTGTCATACTGAAAGATCTGCGGGCGATCCGACGATCAGCAGGAAAGTCGATAAAACATATTTGTTTTTGCTGTAAATAGAACCCACTGAACATTATTTTTATGATACTAAAGCCCTGTTTAAGTCAAAGTATTAAATTTGTCTAAAATTCTAGAGGGGATTTTTCGAATTTTTGTAAGTTGAGAGTTTTATCGGGAATGTCGGTTAAGAATTTCCTTCCCGCCCGTAAATTTTTAAAGACCTTCCATCCCGGCCGTTTTAAAAGTAGTACCTACCCTGGGTGCGTGGGTCCCGATACCCCACGCCCTTACCTAGACTGAACGCATGTGCGGTGAACATTTAGTGTTAGCCTGAAAGAGACTTCTGCTTTTTTAGGTCATCTACAGTCGATCCCTTAAGTAAGAGGAAATCGTCTGCTAAGACAGAGAGTTTCCATTCGAGAAGTTGACAGTATTTTGGGCTCTTAGAGTTGTAGAGACACAAAAGAACTACTGTGCCGTAGCGTCATCTGGTCTGTTACACCAACCATCTTAACTAACCATCGAGAGTATTCGCTATCATTCGACAAGTTTGTAAATTTATCGGTAGATCACTAAACTGAACCTGATTAATGTTTCAACTTAAACATACATAGATGGCCAACTCAACTGGTCGATAGCGGTCAATCTATGCTTTTCGAAGGCGATGTCGGACAAACTATCCTAGCTCAGTTTTGTCAGATAAATTATGCTAATTCGCGTATTCCTAAGACGCACCTACAAAAAATAGGGCTTAGTTAGCACAAACTTAGGAAAGGTCATCGAGTTAAGGTAGTCTTTCGCACGTAAATCAAGATGGGATAGATTGACCGGTATCATCCAGTTGTGATGAAGTAGCGCGGCGCCATCCGACATGTAATACTTACTCGATCCGGTGGGCACCCACTTTATAGCGATCCACCACAATGGAAACATAGTGCCATGATGATAGACGTGTAGAAAGGTTAACTGCTCCCGCTTTTTACGTAAAATGAAGAAAATCGTATCGGCAAATTCCAGCAATTTAGAGAAGTAAAACCACCAAACAGCAGCAGCAATCTATTTAAAGCAAAGCAACCGAATCAAGCAACTGAGTACATAACAACACACAAAAGTAACTAAGTACATATTTATTTACCCTCAATTCTTCTTTCGTGTACAGCTCACGACTTGGCTGACACCAGAAATTATACTTCGAGCGTATGCCATTGAATAGAAGCTCCTTGCAGATGTGCGCATTCAGTAAAGCCATCAAAAAATTATAGAGCAACATCAAAGGTTTCATTTGAAAGGGTTTACGTCTGTAAAAGTTATAAAAGTGCGACAGTTTTAGTATTCACACGCATTTTACATAACAATTTTGCAACGAGTTTAAATGCAACACCTTTGCATCCATTTTGGCAGATAGCGCACCAGCAACAGATACAATGTCACAAGCGCCACTACATCGCCGAAAGACTCGACCAGCAGCCAATGTTGGGTGCGCTTGTCCGCTAGATGCGCGTAAGGAAAATTTGTAGAGTTGAGTTTGAAATATTCGTATTTGAAGAATGCCATTGCCATGTTTTTTAGTGGATTACGTTAATTTTTTAGTTGTTAGTTTGTAACGCCAGCGCATTTAACGTATACGTGTTTACACACCGATTTGCACTAAACATTTTCAAAAAAATTTAGTTGACTTATATTTATACTATGCGATTAAATGGTTATCTTCTTTTCATAGCTTTCCGTTCGAATTTAGTCATGCGTATTTGATTTGTTGAACGTTAACTTTGACCTACACATTGCTTCGATGTTAATTTCGAAATCTCCAAAACTCTTAGGCAACATTGGCAATAACCTTGACATGCAATTGCAACGGAAAAAAATTAAAGTTACAATAACAAGAAAAACCTTGTGGTGAACCAACTTCAAGTCCGACGATCGGCAACTGAGCGCAATGATGCGTATCCCGCAGAAAAGTTTTGTACTTGGTGAATGCTCTACAAGTGTTGTCGTGTACAGAGTGTCATTTAATTATTTTTGGATGAAATGGGTTTACTTGGAATGCATGTAAACACAATTTTTGTAGTGGGTTAGGGCGGGTCAATTTTTTTTTTGGACTATGCGCATTTATCATAGGACGATTCTATGTACGTGTAATTCTAAGCAAATTTGCCGAAGAAGCCATGGGTCTAAATTCAAACTGGAAATTACGAAACGAAGAAAATGTGAAAATTTTCACTGTAGCGCGCTAAGTGTGTCAAAGACTTTAGTACCAATTGTCTGAAGAAAAACAACCTCAACATATCACAAATAATTGCTGTCAAAGATCTGTATCGCCCATGAATCACCCTATAAAATCAGTTCGTAGACTGTAGGCTTTAAAACAAAACGCACGATATTTAAAATCCACGGTAGTTTCCGGATCCAGAAAGATCGCGTTTTCAAGTGGATTGGCTGAACACACTTTCATTTTGATAAGCATTAAAGTTGTTGCATGGCTTTCACCAGCCATCGGCTTTGGCAGTTTCTTTTAGCTGCGCAGTCATTATTATGTAACCAAATATCGCTTCCGTCGTCATCGATTGGGGCAACTGGGTCATCATTATCTACATGGTTTTCGTTAACACTACCAAAAGGCAGGTCAGACTCCAGTCTGATGCTGCATACTACCATGCTTCGGGCCCAGGCGAAGTCAATCAGCGTCATTCCATTATCGGAAGTTCGTCGTAGAGGCTGAATTTTCCGACTGTTGGAGCAAAAATTCCGCCTAGAAAGTTTTTTCTATCGTAACGGGGGCCGCGCTCGTAGTTAAATCTCCTCCGGGTGCTTATAAAAGAAGCCTTTGGACACCTCCTCCTACCCTTTAATCGAAAAGAGGAAATCTGGCTTTGATGCGGATTGTGCTGAGACGCCCGAGCACCAAGGTGAACGACAGTACTCAACGAAGAAGTCTCTTTCGCACCACAAATCCAATACAGAATTCGCGCTCTTTTACTAGACGGTTGTGAGCCCCACGTATTTTTTGCCTTGCTCCGTCCATCGCATTTCTTGAATGGCTTTCTGAGGACACCAATCAGCTGGACATAGTCCTTTAAACGTTCGCCGTAGCCGTCATCAAAAGAAGGCGGAGGGAGAGGGGTTGGGGTTTCATGCGAGGCTTAGTTTTATTTTTCATTGGAATTCTCTTCTACTTCTCGGGTCCCAATCATAGCGCACAACCCGCCCATAGTGAGCCCGCTTGTAACCGCGCCTAGTACTAGGGGACAAACGCTGCTCTCTTCGGTTGTCGCTTAAACCGAATGCGTCGGAGGGTCCTCAGAGACGTGAGTTGGCTACGTTCCCGCATCTCGCACACGGGTAGCTCACGTTGCATAGAGTGCGCGAACGGGCACGCGACAACGGTAACAGCATACTCAGAACCACGACCATATCTCAGTGCTATTTCAGAACCATTTCAGGACTAGGTCGGGATCATGTCAAGACCGTTTCGGGACCTGTTTAGGGCTATTTTAGAAACATTTCGGGACTTAGGGACTAGTTGAGGACCATTTCGGAACTTGTTAATGACTATTTTAGCACCATTTTGGGACCAGGTCGGGATCATTTTGGGAACAATAAGATACTATTTCGAGACCGTTTCAAGACTTCGACAACTTCTCGGTACAAGGTAACGACTTTTTCAGAACCACTTAGGACAAAATGGGTAAAATGGAATAAAATTTAATGTTTAATTTCGAAATTAACCTACTTATGTATGTAACTGAATCGCCTAATGTATTGGCCTTTTTTTTGTAAGAAAAATTTCGATATTTTCAAAGTTTTTGGGCTTATTTTAATTTTAATTAATTTAATTTAATTTTTTTTTAATTCACATCATTTGGTTTTGGAAAAGTTCACATGCAATCACATGTTTACTTTAAACCATGTCAGAAATTTATTTGCAATTAAATGCGCCGACATACATTAATTCCGCTAATCAGCAGTCAGTGAATCTTGTATGCAAAAAATCAATTGCAAAGGTGCCAGTCCAAAGCAGTAAGCATGATAACAGGACCAACATGGAGCCAGTCAATCCCGATGCCACCGAGCTGTCATAGTAGTTTGCATAGATGCCAAAAGTTAAGAGATTGTCTGCGGAAGCTTTTAAATCAATTGAAGTCTCGTAGGATTTGCTGAAAATTCAAAGTAAAAGCGCAAATGTAAAAAGCATGACACTTCAATTCGGCAGCACAGAACTCACCTTTTATCAGTAACCTCCCACGCTACCTGCGCTGGTTGTAGCGAGTAAAAGTTCAAGTTCAAAGTGCTCGGCATTAACAGCAAGCGTTCGGCCTTCTTAAAGCTACCCGCAATATTTAGGCGCTTGAAAGCGAACGCTGGCTGTATCGTTGTATTTGCAGAGAATAAAAGACCACAACTGGCAACGGTGTCATCGGTACAGGCATACATTCCACAAATGGCTACAGCGCTGTATTGCTCCTTCTCATAAGAGCGTTGACCAGTGAAGACGCCAAAGCGGTATTGATAAGCACCAGCCGCGCTACCATTGCCATAAGAGCTTTGACTCGCTGTAGTCTCTGCTGTCAGCGTACAGCAGAGATCTTCGGCGCACTGCTGCAATGCGATCACAGACGAGGCGGTTAAGTTAAGCAGCTGTGAATGGAAATTGTCCAGTTGTGGATCACGCAGCAATCTTAGGCCGGTTAGGGGCGCTGTTGATGCAGCAGCGAATTGCCTCGTATTCACAGCTTCAAGGCGACTACCTGTTTGCTCGTTTTTGGGCACTCTTGCTACCAGCAGTTGACGCACACCCACATTGCCGACCATTGTTGCTGTCAAGCTGCCACTGCTACCCGCATAAATGCCAGAGCCTGTAGGACCAGAGAGCGGATAACTAGAGCCAGCAGCAAGTACCGTTACATTGTTGCCCCAAGCCCAGGATTGTTGCAGCTGCACGGCTAACGGAATAAAAAAAAAAAGACAAATTAGTAACTGAGCTAGTACGTCAGCTGAAACTCAAGTGCTCACCGGTTAGAAAAGGCGTCTCGGAGATGAAACTCGCGGTGAATATGACATTCTTAATGCCATACTTAACCACCAGCTCCTCGGCTGGCGTGTAGAAGAGTAAATCGAAACAGATGAATTGCGCAAATCGCACACCGAAATCCGTATCGAATATAGCATACTCTGGCTGATAAGTGGTATTTTTTTGCTCCACATAGATATTCACCTTGCGATAGCGTGATATGACACGCCCCTCGCGATCGAACACCACATTCGTGTTGTAAATGTTGAGTCCATTTGAGGCGCATGGTCGCGGATCGAATGCTGCATTGTCAGCACAATTCTCCTTTTCCGTTAAATTGATAACCAAATATTTACGGTTTATTCGCGCTGCACAGGATAGCTCCACCAAGAAGTCTTCATAGCGACTACT